AACATATTTGATATTAATATTATTAGAAATTAGTAAAATTAAGTAAAAATAATAAAATATAGAACATTTGTACTTATGAAAATTGTGAGTAAAAACAAAAAATAAATGCATACCTATTATTAAAAAATACTTGCAGGTACTTATTTAAGCGCATAAATGCATGCATGTTGATATTAAGTACCTATTTTTTAAATGGATTAAGTTCAGAGCCCTGTGCATATAGGTATATACTGCAGTGATGGAGCACAAATAGTAAAATGGATGGTTAGTTTTTTTAATTTTTGAAGGATAATTTTTAAAACACCGCAGTCTGCAGTGTATATTCACCGTGCTTTTCAATAATATGTTTTTTTTAGTTACTTCTGAGGCTGGGAGGAACAACATTTTGTTGACAAATTGTACTGGGCTCTGGGTAATTAAGATGTGATAACATGAATTAAAAACGCACAATACAAGTAATTGCTGCAAGAAATGAGAATACCTACTATACAGTATAATATGTTAATTAATTGGAATGTCAGTAGCTCTAACCTGGATATTCTTGTTATTGGTGCGCAGTTTTCGAAAGTGATATATGACTAAAAACCTCCCTATTACTATACCTAGTTACGATGTAAAAAATTCGAAAATAGCGATTTGTAGAGCTATTAATAATTACCTATTTATTTATAGGATAGAAAAAAGAATAATTTTGAGATCGTTTGAATTTTTAATGAATAAAAGAAACTCATATTTTCAAAAGTACAGATTTTAAATTTTTTTTAATTTTTTTATTAAGCCCACAGAAGATATGAGGCTATAAGTCATATATTACATTAAAAAAAGTACACTAGGAACAATATCAGCATTATATTTCGAATTAGAGCTACTAACTTTCCAATTAATTGACATAGGTAGGTACGCTGTAGTGGCTGTACACAGATAAAAGAGAATGGATTTAGGAGATTTGTATGCATATAGTATAATATAAATACAAAAAAAGACATTGAGATGAAATATTTAGAAGTATGATACAAGTTAAAAATTGGGTGGTAAGCCACACAACTTAAGAGAATATTCTACGTTACATTTATGTAATGTCAGATACGTTTATCTTACTTGCACAACGTAGGGATCAAAATTGTATGAAACTACCTATACCTAGGTAGTACTTTATATTTAATAACTGAGGCCCCGAGGGTATATTACACAAGTTAAAATACACTTTGTAATTTACATGTTATTAGAAATTACTAATTAGATTAAGTTATTTTATTTTAATATTATAATGTCATGTTACTCTTTTGAATCAAAAATATTTTGAATCTTATACATAAAAATAGGTTCATGCGATTCCCTTGAAAACAAATTATCGAAGACGGATCAAAAAGATTATATGTTTCCATCTATACATTTGACTTAACAATATTATGAACGAGCAGGTAAGTAGGCAGGTATAATTATTATGTAATACGTATATACAATCTGTACCTATTCAAATTTACGAATATTTTATATACAGAACAGGTACTATTCATTACTAGAAAGGCACATCTGCTAGTTGCTCTAACAGTGATACCTATGCATTAAATCGTAATATAATAGCCGGTTGCAAATTGTGAAAACGCAATGAAAAATCGAATCAAATGCGCGGTGTGCATTGCGTGTACCAAATCATAAACAGCGAGAGAAACGTTTGCAATCTTTATCGTTCTAAAATTGTAAACATGCGAGTAAACGAATTCATGCCTTGTATTTATTATCAGGTAGGCAATCCACCAGCGGTGGGTCGCGGACCCCGCAACGTGCATATTATACTATTTTGGTTACAGCAGTGTATTGGAGGGTATTGGAGGGTATACGCCGTATACCCGGATCCCCATTTTTGGATTTACGAGTATACCCTGAAGACAATTAGTCTTTTATGAGTATATACGCACGCTTCCAATTCATCATCAGCGACACCGGCCAATTCAGTCATATCACCAAACAAAAGTTGATAATAATAATATACAAATTAGTACAATAATATTTTATTATGACATTGCGTACCCTGTCCAAAAATAGCCTCGTACCCTTATGAAGTTCATTAAATTTTACACAGAGATTTTAAACAACAACAATCTCTGATTTTACACGACTTCGGGTTCTATTGGAAGACGATCGGGAACTGTCGAGCGTGTATGCAATTAATTTATAGCAGCGGTTCCCAAACTGTGTACCTACTAAGTTTCAAAAATATATTGTAAACCACTGCTTTATCGTGTATACCTATTACCTACACTGAATCGGTCGCGGTGTGCCGTGTATGGTTAATCTAATAGTTAAAAATAGATCCATAGTCAAAAAATCGTGTACGATTATTGATAATATATTATATACGTATGTACAGGGGCGTGCCTAGGAAGCGTGTTCAACCCCCCGAAAAATAAAAATAATTATTAATAAACGTTGACAGTAATACAATATATATATGAAGCTTGATCAGGTTAGGGCTGGACTTCTGGAGATAGAACCCCACCTCCCCCTAAAAAAATTTCTAGGCACGCCCCTGCGTATGTATAATTTTAAAATAAATGATAATTAAAAAAATAATAATTCATTAGGATTAGATACTGATACTTGGTACATAAACTTGTATTATATAATATATATATATAAGTTCAACTACTTTTAGGTGCGTATATACACATAAATTGATTTACCAATATACCACTAAGTCTATATGCATATGAATTATGAATAATATGTTTGATTTTTTGATTTTGATTTCGATTGCGCTGATGAGCAGTTAGGTAGGTGTGTAAATTATATGTGCGAAGATTCGATTTGATGCATGCTTTTAACTCATCTGCCTCAATAACTAATTTCTACTAATTATTTCTCCTATGACTAATAGCAACCATTTATAAACAAAAATGTCCTTCGTAATTCTCAAATCCCAGTTTGAGCACCTCTCCGGGTCGGTCCCTTAATTTACTCTTTTTTAAGTAACCTATTTTCCACATAGACGTCTAAGACTCTAAACTATCTCTGCGAACTCGACCCGTTTATCAAGAAAAACATACCTTCCTACCCCATATTTGTAATAATTACGTAGATAAAAATGGTCGTCATCTTAATCGCGAGGCATCCTACCCCCTCTTCTAAGGTCAAAGTACCATGACCAGTAGAGAATAGGCGGAGGGCGTGCAGCAAGTCACAGTGCCGAAATTTTATTTTTTATTTTTTTTTGTCTTTTTCCAACTGTCGAGTTTGACGCAGCGTCGCGTTCTCTTGCCGCCGCCGTGTGTTCTGTGAGCAGAAACCGCGTGTACGGACGGTGCACAACGATTTGAGATAAGTCGTCGTTCCATAGGGTCCACAATTTAAGACTTAATTTGACGATGGTCACAAGCCCCGAGATAGTTGAGGCCTGACGCGTTTCGCCGCTGTAGTGCGAAATATAAAGTACCGACATCAGACCACTGTCACCGTTGCAGAGTGGAGCCGGTCCGTCTTCCCGAGGTCAGGTCATATTGTTCGAAATATATTATAAACTTAATGTAAAAAACACATGTTTTGTTTTTAGAATTAGTTATTATTATTACTATCACCTTTATTATTTATTGTGCGCATAATATATTTTGCCCAGGCTTTTATGGTGATGAAGTGATTTACAATAATTTATCAAAACGTGCCGGATCGCGCTATGCATTTTGTCACCGATGTGTGAACATTTTATAGCTAAGGTGAAAGGGGTGTTTTACAATTGATAGTAGTCGAGGAAGGTTCCTACTATAGTAAATAGTAATATGACTGATATCATTTAAGAATTTACTTTACTATTGACAGTAGTTGAGAAAGTTTTTTACTTTAGTTATAATATTAATTTCATTTTGAAAAAAGTGATAGTTATAGCCAGTGATAGGTACACTTTAAATTTAAAAGGGTCAGGATCTCGATAAACAAATGAAGAATTATTCACTGGTCTGGTTGTATTATACATTCAAATATTCATTAAGATTATTACACAAAATCCATAATCAGCAGTCGTTAGTGACCAAACGTCGGGTGCCATAACATTGCACACTGCGGTTTCCGCAGAACAGAGCGAGACCATGGCCGAGTACGGTCGAGCTACCCGCTCCACTGTTGCCACCGGTGCAGCTAACACCAATTTCATTCAACAAAAATATCTTACATTGGAATTTGGCAACATCAGTATTTCTAGTGAAGCAATAAGTGACATTTGTAATGTAATATTCAAAAAAGGTAATTGCAAAAAATCTAAAAATAATTAAGTTATGGAATTGTATAATTCCAATTTAGCTTTGAGAAAATTATTAGATGGTTATTCAGATAGTAAGTTACACCTTCATAAAATTCTCCAAGACAATGCCCAAGTTGTAAAATTTTAAAAATGTATTGTAAAAAATATAAAAATCACCACCAACTATTTCAGCATTGTCAAGAGGTAAAATAAAACTAAATTTCTATTAGTCCTAATGAAATATCTCAAAAAGAAATTGTTATATCAGATGAAGCAATAGACTAAATGAGAGTATGGTAGTGTGTAAAATAATAAAATTGATTCTCGACAGTTCTCCTCAAAAAGGAAACCATAATACATCCGATACAATCGTAGGAGAGTTGGAAATTATCTGACAGGAAATGTTTATGAAATCTAAGGTTAATAGTTCTTTTCAAATAGTTAACGATTACTATAGTGCTATAGAAGAAATTAGTTATAATAAGAATATTGTTAGTATTAAAAGAACTTATGTTGATGAGGAAATGTTAGCCACCCCTAAGCGCAAATTAAATGTTTATTTGCTGGAGATTTATTTTCCCCAGAAAAAGGATTTAAATCTTTATCTGCCTATAATATACCAAAAGAGATCTGAAAGCATTGCCTAAGAACTCAAAGAAAGTATATCCCTTGAAAGTAAGGACTTTTAGGTAATATGTTACAAAAAGTGTAATTTTGTGGAAAGAAATCCAGTTTACTGGATGAAGAATTGAAGCAAATTGATAATAAGTAATTGCAAAGAAATCTTATTATTTCAAAAGAAATAAATGATTTGTTACTTGAAAAATTTGAAACTGTAAATATCTCTTGTGTACTGACAATCAAAAATAAAAATATTACCAATGAAAGTTTAACATGTAAAGGTTTATGTCGGCATGAATTTTGTTAACAGTTTTCACTTGTGGCGGAGAACACATTGCTAAATCGACTGATGGTTTGGCACAAATAACAGTTCTGAATAACAGCCACAATTACAGCCACTATGGTAAACTGACTACATTAATGAAAGGAAAAAATCGACAAATACAAAAACAAATGTCAAACTATTGTCCACCGATGAGTTTAAAAGCATCTCCTAGTAAACTTAAGAATGGTAACTTGTAGAACATCAGGTTTGATCACGCATGCTATAAGGTGTCTCATGAGGAAAAGAGTCGTGATGATTGAGAGGCTGACTAGTGACGATAGGTTCAATATTCATTTATTGAAAGATAAATGTTCAAAGTTTAATCAGTACGTATCCGATAATCCAAAGGAGAACAATTTTGAAACTTATTTGTAAGTCAAGATCAAGTTAACGTTTTAAGAAAAATAAAATTTGTTACAATTTATATCAATGCGACTTGCGAGGTGATGAGAGAAGCTATAAGAGATTCAAGGCTATTAAAAACAGGAAAAATAAAATAAAAATTACTATTGTATTAAGCGGCCGTCACCATGTGCAATAAGAGGATAATTTTCAATGGCAGAATATCTGCTACAAACTGCTAGTGCGATAACAAATTGGCTGTTGGAGTATCGAAAATGATATGAACTACAGTGTGGTACAAAGTTCATGACACACGTTGTCAGTGACATTTCAACAGCAATATTAAAAGGGTTTGTGAGAGCATTTAACGAATGTAACGAGATCATGGAATATTTGAATAAATGTTAAGAGTTCATGCATGAGGGGAAAATGTTTAATTTCAACACACTAATAAGTCTTTGTTGTTGTCATTTAACCAAAAACATCTACAAAGGAAATGAAAAGAAGATAACCAATGGGTCTTTAGAGTGCTAGGCAACTGTGTGTATATTGGCAGCTTTCAACATAACCGCCACAGAATGTCTGGGCAAATGGTTCACTGCAGTTGCAATGGAATTGTTTTCACCCTGCAAGACTAGATGTGGATGATGCCATGAAGACCTTGAGCTGCTCAGCCATGAAAATCCAAGTAGTCTAGTTGATGATCTAATCACGGAACAAAAAAAATGTTACATTAGAATATTAGATGAACAAATAAGAGATGTTAAAATGTTTTACCAATATAAAAATTCCAAGTTCTTGTCTTGGTTAGAAAATATAGTCGTTCGGGTAAAAGAAACATTAAAAATGTGTTCTAGCTTTGAACAAAATCCATTGTATTAGCGTTGAATTTCACAATGATATCATGAGGTCTATCATTCCGGTGATTCTAATGTGGACAGGTGTCATGTGATTCAGAGTATTTGGGTCAACAGACAGAGGAAGCAATGCTCCAGCAGTGAGTTGATTTGGAGATTAAAAGACAAACAAACAATGCATATGAAATGTGGAAAATTTATTTGATCATCTGACGACAATGAAGAAAAATAATGCAGGGACCAAAAAAGAAAAAAACAGGATTCTATTTCCAGGGTGATTAAAAAGCAGCTTCAAAGCAACTAAAGGCATGGATGGTTATGAACCATTTGTTACCAATTAAAAAGGTAAAAGATTATGTTAATTGTGTGACACCAAATGCACCAAATGTGAACATTTTCTCATTTGATTCCATAAAATCTGATGACAAAATTGTAACTCCAAATAAGACATCATCAGAATATTTTCTTTCTATAATAAGTTATAAATCTCCAGTAGATGGTCTACAGTGCAAAATAGATGTACCTATATGAAAATAAATTACCAAAGGATACAAATTATTATGGCTCAATTTTGAAGGAAAACCAAAACCAATTGGATTATGTAGTTGGCATTTATAATCGTGTTAAAAGACATAACTCAATGCCATGAGTTATTATTTGGTGGCTTTGACACACTTTCAATGTATACACCTGAAAGTATAAAAAAATGTAGTTGAGTAACTTTGTTATTGATATAGCACTGGGTGTAATAAGACAGACATATTGTGAGTTTAAAAATAAATTAAAAATATTAAGCTGATATGTATCGGGTCATTTAAATAATGATCCTTCGAAAAGATTTTCAAATTTGGAAACTATAATTGTTCCAAAAGAAAATTTACTTGTAATGCTATTAAATGTAAATGAAAACCACTGCGTTATTACATTTGTAGAGTTTGGAAATCAAATTCTATTTATTTCATCCATTTGAAACTACGGAATATAATATTAAAAGTAGACATAATTTTGTGACTATTCTTAGTGAACCAAAAATAAAACATGTGTATGGAAAGATATGAAAAGTATGACCAAGAGATTAATTTTCATATGTTTACTGATTATCCTAAACAAACAGTTGGATATAACAGCGGAGTTTTTGTTGTACTATGCAGTGTATGATGAAAAATAAGATTGAAAACGTTAAATTCAATCAAGATTTCAGCCCAATGGTAAATAGAGAAGTAAGTGTTGAAAAGATCTTTTGTTAAAAAAAGTTGATTTCATGAGTGTTATTTGTTTGTACATATTAGTTGTTTTGTACCCCATAATTAAAGAAATGAGAGTGGAGTAGGCCTATGTTGGGAAACCACTATAAATAAAAACGCGCCAAAAAACAGTACCTCCAATTTTGTTAAATACAATTGCTAAGGTGGCGTGGAAATCTGTTAAATTGTAATACTTCTGAATATGCTAGTATATTATGTCAAATTTCTTTAACTGTGTACATACAAGTTGTGTATATTTTGTACACAAGATTTACCTTGTCATCTAATCTAAAATTTAAAAAAATAAAATATTATGTATAATATAATAAAGACTTAAAAATAAAATAATATTATATAGAACTAACTATGACACTTACTAAGTATATTTTTTTACTTCACAGTTTTGCCCAAAAAAGGACAGCCAACAGAATAGTCATATCTTTTGGATAATAATTGTGAGGTCCAACTAATGCATAATGACAAGGATTGGTAAACATCAAAATCCTTCAGCAACCCAGTGGTTGTTCAATTAGGTACCTAAAAATTTTAATTCATGATAAATAAACACTTAAATTCAATATTACAATAACTATTTGCCGATACCTTCAGTGGTAATCTGTAACATTATCAAAATAGATTTCATTATTTCCTTCTTCATTGTTTTTACATTTCTTGGTATAATACAGCTTCCATTTTGAACCATACGATTGCATAATAGCATATATTAGACCTTATATCCTTATTTGTGTACATAAAAATCAAAAGATCATTTTTACATTTCACAAATACAGGAAAAATGTCATATATTAATGGAACTTGTGCAATTATACGACTTTATGGCGAATTAGTTAACATTAATATTCCTTAAACAATCTTATAAATAAAATATCAATTTCCTATATAGATAATGGATAAATCATAATTTAAGATTACCTTTAGTGTTATTCTTATAATTCTACTTAGTGTTTTCTTTATTAAACTTCTGTAGCAAGGTTGTATGGATTAAAGTTAATATTTAGAAAACCAATAGGTAAATCATTGTGTGTTGCACTTGGTTGTATACCACAAATTTTTAATTTTATATGGTGATATTAAAACAGTTTTACATCCACGGATAACCTTCTTTCAAACTGATCTAGGGCCGTTTTTAACGTCCTTATATAAATGTAGCAACTTTTTATGGTATTTTAGAAATTCAGTAGCAAGAAAAAAGAACTAAATTGAAAGTAACGATTAATGTCATAATTAAATAAACAAATATTTGGTCATGGACTAATGCCAGTAAAGCGTATGTAACAAATTTATAATAAATTTGAAATTATTTATTAACAGTAAGTCGAAAATTAGAACAAATGATCATTATCAAAATACAGAATTAGATAGCGACATCGAGTATTATTGCGATAACCCCGTTATCAAAGTATACTGATTGAAGAACCATTGAACAGTGTAGCCACAATAGATTGGGATAAAGTGTTATTCAAATTCTTCGCAATTCATGTATGAAACCCACCAATTTTAAGTTTTAAAAAACTTAAACTTCAGTCTAAGCAAAGTAAAATGTATTTTTCTTATTATCCTAGTCTTCCTTAGACCTCATTATTATAATCTGACTTAATCTAAATGCATTATGAATGTAGTTGCATTGTGCCTATTATTTAAGTATTTAACTATACTCGTAGAAATTAAAAAAAAATAATGAGTCCTTGAGATTTTAATATTATAACTAATAAATATAAATAGGATAGTATGTAAACGTTTTATTTTGTTATTATTGATGAATTTGCTTAGTTGAACAATTGCTAAACATCAAATTAGTAACTTAATAGCAATTTCAACGTTACTAAAAGAACTACGTATTGAATTTGTTTGGATAATTTTCACAACACAGTACAAACTATGCATTTAAATTTTAAATTCTTGGATATAAAACTGCATAATATGTCATAATTTCATAAATTACATCATACTATTTATGTACAAACATAACTATATATTTTCATTTATATTTATATATGTAGGTATAGCCGGGATTAAGTGATTTTAGAATGAAATACAATAAGATACAATAGTTTAATTTTCAAACTTATTACTTACTATTATAATAATTAAAATATTTTAAAAATCAATCACTAATAATTTTTTTTTTTATTCAAAATTAATTTTAAATAAATGATATGTTTACTGAGAGTAACTTCATTACCTTTCTATAAGATATGTGATTTTCAAAGTGTAGTCATCAATATTAATAATTTATAAAAATGGCTCAAGTATAATAAATACTAGATCCAATTTTATGTCTATATTATATTTATGTAGAACCAGTTTTAAGGACTATTGTCCATAATACAAACATTTTAATAACTAAGAAACTACTCATTTGAATTTTGAATGTGATAGGTACATCAAATTTTCAAAAAAATGATCCACTAATTAATTTACAGTATAAGAGAGGGGTTCTCATTTGAAAAAAAAAACAGAAGTTTGTATCATCATAGGACACTTCCTACAATGAGTAGTATAAAAAATTCAAGAATTTGAAAATATGGTATTTGAGTATATTTAAAAATTCAAAGTTAGAATTTGAATACATTCATTAAAGGAAAAAATGGAGGTAGAGCAGCATTGCTTGGCGAATCGCTCTTTATAGTATTATATTGAGTATTTATACAAAATATAGTATTGAGCAGTAGGTACCCTTTTATTTAAATACAATTTGTATAAAGTACAGTTCTATATTAATTAAACAATTATAGTAAATTTGTATAACAATGCATTATAAAAATATATTAATTAAAGTAAATTTATTTTATATGAGTGAGCTTGATAGATGTATAAATCAGTGTATAGAATGTACGTATTATATAGTATAATTTATAACATATTGAAGCTAAATAAGTTTGTAAAATAAATATCAACAAACTGTAAGTACATGGTTTACAATTTCATTTATAAAATCATTGCAATCATTAAATTTGTTGTTTTCAACAACCCAGTCCCATTCTAAATGGTCATCCAAATCACATTCCGATGTTGCATTGTCTACTCCTAAAAATCAATTATAAAAATTACAAAAATAATTATTTATTTTCTTTTAACAAAATAGATACTTAGATATCTATTTTATATTTAGCCTATGTGGCTATGTACCTAAGTACCTAATTATTAATTATACAGGCATAGATATAATAGTTTTACTCAAATAAAATCTCTAAGATTTTATAATTTTACTTAACTTATTATAAATAGTAATAACTATTATCATTAATTATTATAAAAAGTTTAATAAAAATAAGAACCATAGGTAGGTGCCAAAATGGAGTTTTTAATCAGTTCAAAATGTAAAATAAAGAACCACAGTGTTTACTGTTTTTAGTTTACTCTATTTATTTATAGAAATACATGATTAAGCTATAATCCAAGTCCCAAATAGAAATTAATCATTTTGGTACCAACACATTTGTTATAGATTGCATATTTGCTTTTCAAATGCTATCACAACTGTTTTGGTTGCATGTACTATTAAATATTAATATTTGATCCAAGTATTCCTTTTCAACTATTATTAATATGTAGGTAATATAATATTATGAAGTGGCACCTACATTACTTAATGTGCATTTAATTAGGTGTACGAAATCATGAATTTAATTTATTTTACCCAAATAATTTATTATAAATTAAACATTTTTAAACAACAATGATGAAACCAACAATTGTACCATACTATAAATGGATATCACAATACTTTATTATATTACCTGCATAGGTTGATATTTTAAAATACTTAATAAAATCATTATTCCTATTTAATATTTACCAAAGAATTATAGGGGGGTTATAGTATTAACTATAGTATCTACCATTTTAGTGGATTTAGCAGTTTAAATGTTTGATTACACTATCATACACAATACATGTACATAAAAGTACATAATAGCAAACCCTAATACATACATACGTGTATTCACTTAATGTATGTTGTATGTAAATCATATCAAACAAATCTAAAGTATAAAAATAAATCAAATAAGTGTTCTAAGAATTTAGCAGTGTTAAAATAATAACACTCATTTTTGGATGTGTAATAATTTAATGATATTTTTATATATAATTAATGAATTTTGCAGTAGAAAGCTGATTTATGTCAGAGGTTGTCAAGGTACAAACAAAATTGTAACGAAACAATGCATACAGAGTGTAACAGGAAGACCTGACAAATGAAATAACTTGTTCTATCTAAACAATATAAAAAAATTTTTTTTTACAATTTATTTATTTGTGCGCTTCATGTATAAATAATTTATTATATTTTCTACACACAATAGTAATTTAAAATGCAATTTTTTTTGGCAAAATTAATTTAACTACTGTAGTACAATGCATAATAGTATAATAAATTACTTAAACCACAATAATATCATAGAATATACTTAGTAAAATTATTGGTTGACAGATTGTCTTTGCTCAGAATTGTTTTTCGTATACAATGATTTTATATCATTGTATTCAAATTTAATAAATCCATTACAGTGACTCCCTAGACACCTAATGAACAGCAGTGTGTTACCCACTGACCAGCCTTTTTTATTTTTAGTATTAAAAAATTAAAATAAAAAATTTTATATTAAACATGTAATGCAAGCCGTAAATGATAAAAAAAAAATTTTAAATTATTGATGAAAACAAGTTATTTTATTTGTCAGGTCTTCCTGTTACACCCTGTAAGTAAAACAAAAATTGAGTTCTTTGAATTCTTTATTTGCGTAAATATAATATATTTTTTAAAAAGTTGAGAAATATGTATACTGTATAGTTACGGATTGGCCACGGCCGTGAGTTATAACATTTTTATTCAAATATTTATAGCTCAATTTTTTTGTCCAGGTAATCAGCGTTTTACTGTAATAATAGTACTATTATACCAACATATCATTACAACTATTAATTATCATTCGGAAAGAATTTAAACTGGAGATTTTTCTAAAGACAACTACTGTGTAAGTACCCTGTATAAAGTTCCATCCTCTTTCTTTTCTTGTACATTCATCTGCAGTGATTCTAATCAGTTTTAAATTATCATAATTTGATTTGAACCATGCGATATCAGTCTTTCTTCTAGCATCACTCACAATCCATATATCTTTAGAATGGTCTAAAATATTATAGGTACATATTATTTTAAGAAAATACTATTATCTATATTATAGACGATTTATGTTATGTAAATATACTAACTTTGATCATACATATCTATTGCCATACGACAAAAATAACCATTATCATTTGAACGTACATTTTCACTCCATTCAATCATTGACTTTCTGTGTTGTTCCTTCATTTCACCATCACTGAGAAGTTCATCCAATTTAAGTGATTTAGTTTGGGCCCAGTGCTTTTTTATGGGACCCGAAAGACGAATTATCACACATTTTTCTGATCCAATTCTATAATTGTTAAGTTTATAAATTGATTACCATAAACATAAAATGAATAGTATAATTTTATTCTATAAACAACATTTAACAACATTTTGTATGGAACTTTTATTATTTTGTTAAGTTATAAATTACCTATTTATAAATAAAAAATTGTTTAAAGTTCTTATGATTATTTTACAAATAATTAAGTTTTTCTAAAATTTGATTAACAATAGTTTCTACTTCCGCCATTGCACCAATACCATGATCACCACACATTAATGTCTTAACAATTGGGGGAATTAGACAATATCCCCATGACACCAACTTATCCACTTGATCTTTAGTTACTGGATGATTCCACATTTGAGTATTCATTGATGGACAAAACAATACTGGCTTTGAAACATTCCAAGCTCTAACAACGCATGTTAATAAGTTGTCACATATTCCTGTACTCACTTTAGCCATGGTATTAGCACTCAAAGGAGCAAGCACTAATAAGTCTGCTTTTTTTGAAAGTTCTATATGCAAAACAGGATCTCCACGAGTTGTCCAGGCATCCCATTCATTTTGATCAGTGTAAATATCAATTTTGAAATCCTTTCTAATTTTATCAACATCTAAAAAATGTTTACTAGGTTCTGTGACGACTAATGTTGTGCTAATGTTCTTTTGAACAAGTTGAGAAATAATATCTGGTATTTTGATTGCAGCAACACTTGCACTGCAAGCAATCAGAACATGTGGCATGATTATTGAGTTGTATTAGGTACTGTCGTTGGTATTTTTGACGTCAGCCAATCCAAGTTTAGTCCATTCTTCTTTAGCCATCAAATCGTTTTGCATACGGCAATCCAAATAATCTTTGGCCTCTTGACGACACTGTGAGTTGTCTCCGCTGTTCACACTCAAACAAAACATATATTTGTAAGCAGTTTTTTTACACTGGCCTTGGTGATCTAACGGAAAACTGCCCTTTTCAGGAGGTGTAGGTTGAAAACTTTTTTGGCCAAAAGTTGCAGAAGACATGTGGAAATACAATAATTATTTAACAATAACAAATGTGATTTGTAGAATAATACAATTTTTTAACAATGAAATAACCTTAGTGATTTTAGGTAATATATAAACATACAACAGTAGAGTACACAATAAAATGAACTATTAGTACTTTGACCAGCTATATAGTAGATGCACTTCACAAATAAATTGTTAATAGTTAATACCTACTTCATCACCTATCAGTAATTTATACATCCAGTTGTTCAAGGAATGAATAAATAAATGTGATAAGAACAATATTATGATAATGGTATCTACTATCTTACTTTTTCAACTTTTCACAAACTTCATACTATAATTATAGGTAGTATATACTACACAAATAATATAATATATACACTCTGATGAAACTTTATTATGAAATCAAAAGTAAAGTTCAATTTGTTTCCCATTGGTTGTAGAAGTTTAAGATTAGGTATTTAATATGATAGGAGTACAGATTGGGCCTTAAACAATGACTACATTTAAATTTAATATATTTAAACAATTATTATAATTAGTAATAAAACAGTCTAAGTGCATTATATTTTATTATACAAAGGTATATCGTAACTACTTTCAATTCGTACAGTATAATATCTAGGTTGCGATTACATTACACGTCTTCCCATTTCCTGAACTTCTTTTCTATTATCAATATTTTGTGTTATAAATACAGAGTTGATCCGAAGCATTGTAATTTCTTTTCGTATAAAGTTGATCCTCATGTATTGCTTACGTTTGATACGTTCGAAGTTAGTTCTAGTGTGAGACAGGTCTTTATCGACCACCGTAGCGGTGACTTGCACAGTGTCAGGGTCCAAAACGGGCCTGCCGATCAGCGTAAAGTCTTTGCCACCAACCAACAGCACTTTTTGCAACTTGATGCGATCTCCGACATTTGGAGGCCAGTAACCGTCTATTAGCACCAGGTCGTTGTCGGTGACTTTGAACTGCTTACCACATATATGTACAACAGCAAACAATCGGTTATTGTTTTTTACAGCTTCGTTGACGGTTTGTATTACACTGTCGGAAAACGTTTTGTGTGCAATCGTATTGTCCACAACATATTCCTGACTGATTGGTACTGAAAACGACCGTACGTTTTGACTCGATGCAGCAGCAACAGCTATTCGGTTAGTGGACACGGTTTGAACGGTTTTGCTCGCAAGATTCAGTAATTTATTGCACAACATTATAGGTAGCTGTCCAAGATGTTTAGACACAAGTAAATTTAGTAACAGATAAGACTAACAGAGTAATTAATTACATGTATAATAAATACTATAATATCAAACTAGACATAATACTATAGCTCATTTTTATGAAATAATAATTGTGTTTGAAGACAATCAAGACTAAGGTTTAAATATTGGGAACTTAAATTTACAAATTTCAACATAACCTCACAAATCGAGAATGTATTATCGTATTATCAAGACGATAAGAATATTATTATTATGTATTATTTGAAAAATAAATTTAAAAATCTTATTGGTAAACACGAATAAAATATTATGTTAAGTAAGGGCGTGGAGTTCAAAGAGTAATTTTAATATTGTTATATTAATTTATAAGAAATACAATTCAATAACAGTACATAAGTGGACATTGTGGTGGCTAAACTGTCGACATGTTGTCGTGGTGAGTTGTTGCTGCAGGACTGCGGGAGGGACCGATATGATCAATCATTATAATAAGTAATAACAACATCTCAACAATAATACCTATTCGAATATTCAATGTTTTCTGATGAATTTATGTACAAAATCCAAATTTGTCATAACATTGAAATCGCTTAATTAACCTAATGTTCATTAAATATTTTTCTCGAACGGTGAGACATCGAGACGTGATCTTACAGGTTTTTATTTTATTACATTTTACGTCGTCAAATCGAACGCGATAAGGTACGTCCCAGTATCACACATTTGACGACGAGTAATCAGTTGAGGTAGGCTGTTAATGTCATCACTCATCGACTAGTAATACTATATAATCGTGCGTCACCTTTTGTGGATGGCGTCCGTTATGTAATCCTTTCCGCATTTCCGCTTGCCGCTGAACACGTACACGGCCTTGGGTCGCTGACGCTCGGACACTGCAGCTCCAGACATAATCTACCTACCTGGCTACGTAATATCACTGTTTCGACGGTGACGAGTGACGACTACTAAACGGTCTACGGCCAGACGACCAACAGTCCCAAGCCCAACACCTGAGCAGTGAACGGTTAGCGCGTGACTCGTCGCGCGTCGGCCGCCAATGGTTCTTATAACGGCTTCATAACTAAGCGCAGAACAGCGCTGAACGGCACCGAACGCGATAATAATATTATAATTACCCATTTATTAACATTATATTACGCTTAATGTTTATAAATTATAATGATTAATAGTAATATTATATTGTAGATCGAACACTTTTCAAATAAATTATAATAGTTGATGTACCTACGCGTGTTGACGCTTCCCATGTCGAACGATTCATTGAATTATTTTAACCTCTAAACCGTTGAGGTGAAACTTGTTGATCGTAGTTTTGAGCCCATCGTGCTATTCATAGATATTTTATTATTCTTGCTAGTTGCGTACCTAGTACCTACCAATAATATAAATAATATGATGTTTTTTTTTTATACCTTAGTAGGCAGTTAATGCATCTATAAGTCATAGCCGGTACCTACATAGATTATTTCACAATAGGTAGGTACCTACTGATGGAAATGCGCTAAATTTGGGTAAATTAATCATTATCCTATTGATTTTATAACGATTATTATGATAAATAATACCTAATATGTTGTGATAAATAAAACATAATATAATTATAATAATTGTACGTACTTACTACGTTATATTAATCGTTAATGCAGCAAATCAAAATATATTGCTGCAATAATACACTATGAAATGAATAGATACAAAAAGCGAGTTTCTAATGTTAATTTATGTCATCTATGATGTTATACACATAATTACTGAACAGGAATCAAAGGTGTAGAAGTGCATGCCCGAAGATAGGGGTATAAAATAAACCAAATAAGGGTGCCCGATACATTTCCACTTCGGTAAACTGTATAATTTTACATCTTAGAATTATTTTTACGTTACTTTGCATGATTTTTGAAATTGTATTTATTTCAATAAATTTATTTTAAATTTACAAGTACAAATTATTGTTTGGATAGTTTTTGACCAACTGAGCACTCAGCATTAAGTACATTATATTATTATAATAATTTCGATCATTATTACAGATTAGATCAAATTATATAAAATGTAAAGGTAAAGATAGCCAACAGCCGATTAACATATAAAATTACGTTCAATATTATTTTGTTTTGTTTATATTACAAATTATCCAACGAATTCCAATACATTATATTATCTTAGAATTGTCCGTCACTTGTACTGAAAAGTGCTGCTGTAAGCTTCTTAATTATTATCACCCTATTATTTAACACTATTTGCTGACTTCGAAGAACGACTTCGGGACTTCTTAATAGACATTTTAAAGTACTCTTCGGATTTTTAGAAAATCCATTGTTTGTCAATGACATTGAATTAAATGAAGACCTACTGAATGTTACATACTTATTAAATGTCCTATTTCACATCATATTGTAACAAATGAGGTGAATCTCGAAATAGATCTCTCAGAGTTACCTATTAGAAGAAGTAGTTCTTCAAAGTTTAAAAACAACTGTCACTCTTTTTCGGAATTTTGGAAGCATGTTTCTATGTTAAACACCCACATATTAGGAACTGAGGTAAAATTATTATTTAATATAAAATTCTTGAATGACATATTCACGTAAATTGCGTTATACAACGAAACTATGGAATTCCAAAAATCGTTTACATTTAACTGATATAATCTTACATTCTCCCAAAGTACGTAGAATTGTTCCTACACTAATGCAACTAGATCTTAAGATTCTCAGAAAAAAAAATAGACACAAAGATATACTTCAACGAACATTTTTTTAAACGTATTCAGAAATATATAATTTATGTACTCTTATTTATTTATATTTAACTATACATATTTTGTTCATTTATCTATGTAATAAAATAATTTATTACATATTTGAATACATGTATACCAACCATAAAATTAAAACTCATAGTAATAAGTAAGTATATTTTGATTTTTGTAAATAAGACGTGAGCCTCAAGTTAGACGGGACCACCCCTGCTACTTTATAGTATGGATAGTAGTATCTTTATTCTTATATTAAATTAAAAAGAAAAAACCCGAAATTAACTAAATTACTCAGTGTAAACCAATATGAACAAGAACAATAGGTGGAAAGGATATCACTAAGACACAACATGAAATATAGGCGTGGGAAACCCTTCATCAGCTGAGAGCAAAGGTAACTAGAACAAAAAAGCACAATGGGGAATAAAAAAGAAAACAAATTGACTGGAATGTCCAATGATGGATAGATATGTTATCCAACCAAAATCCAATCACCCATATATGATATATCTAATAGAAAATATCAACGTTGAATAAATTGTTATATAGCACACTACACAGTTCACAGTGCACACCTATACCAAACTTTTATATTAATAATTATTATTCATTTAAATGTTTTATGCTATAAATCTTTAAATGTATTTGAGAGCACATACAATTTTGACAATGGGGTATGTTGTAACATCAATGAAATCATATTGCAATTTGGCATATCTCAATAATAAATAAACAAACAAAAATGGGGATATTTCAATTAGCTCATTTAAATAGTGACCCAAATCATGAAAACAGATTAAAAAACAAATCTTTAGCTCCACAAACGCCTTTTCAAAAGATAGTATTGAATAAGCAAAAAAATATTTGACTTTCATGCGCTAATATGAAATTCCCGTGTGTGGCATTCTGCGTAACAAGTAACAACCTATATGGGTTGAAAAACAAAGCTGTAAATATTCCCTAAATTTCAAGAAATATGAAGTATGCAAAATGTGGAACTAATTGTTTCAGTTTATAACACTATAAGCCCTATCCAAATGTATGTTTTATATTATAAATATATTGAAAATTACCATTTACTTATTAAATACATTTTTAATTACCACTACCATTTTTATTTTTTTGAAATTATTGTACATGATTACTATTATTTTAAAAGCACTATAAAACTAAAAACACAATTAATAGTATGCTGTCATGTTGTAACTTGTGGCATAATGTTCACAGAGGTACTGACATAGTCAAGACATACTGTACAATATTATTTTACCTAAACATACATTTCAAATTTTTTTTTTGGTTTTTCAAATAAGACATTCAATTTAATATAATATTATTATTGTTTATAAATAAACATTTAAAATAAAACATTAATAGTAAGTAAGACTAAGAATCATTATACAAAATAATTATTATATATGTCCTAATAATTATTAGTCCTATAATGTCAATATTGACAATTTTAATACATTCTTCTGCACAGTAATGCCCCTATTTTGCCTATACAATACGCCTAGTAACAAATTCTGAAAAAGAAAATTAGTAATATATTATTCTAATAACTGACGAAATATTTTTTGTAGAAATCTGAAAACATCAAGAAGATGATTTATTTATTGTTAAATTTATCAATTATTTTTGTTTGCACTATTATATTAACTTACATGATAAGTAAGTTGCATTCTATACATTTTCTATTAACTTTGGCAATTACAATAATTTTAACAACGATAGGTACGTTGAATACGTTCAATAACCTATACCATTATTATTATATTATGTTTCCCGAACGTCAGTTACAGAATCACCCAATCTCAATCCAAATTCTTCTGTATACCTATATAGAGAAAATTCAATTCTTATGGTAATATGGTATTCCATATAACGTGCAAGAACCCTTACAATACATAAGTTGTTTTCACGAGCGTTCTTTATGCAATGTTGACAACGTGTACCATCTAAAATCTTCTCTTCTATTATAATATAGGGTGTATGTTTTTTTTTTCATTCACACCGAAAATTTGCATAAATTATCCGAAGCAAAATTATAGCACAATATACCTTATACCTTATTTACCTTTGTAATTTGTGCATACATCTCTAAAATGCTTTCGTGCATGTGTTTTTTTTTTAATACCTACTCTTAAATTATTATTTAACTTATTTTTCAAAATGCAATGATTGTAAATAAATATAATAGTTGTTATCCACTAAATTATATTTCATTAAAATAGGTACCAAACAAATATTGTGTTTAGTTTAATTGTAATATTATGTCATTGAAGCTAATTCACTAAACATAAATAAACCGATGTCGATCTATTTTAAAGTGAAAACAATTGCTCATGAACAATGAGTTATGACTTGTGAATGTTATGTTTTAGTAATATAATATTATACTAATAGTTTCACAGCAGAATATAGGTGCGCAAGTACTCAGTATAATGGTTCATTCACACTCGCCTACGTACTTGGACTTAGAAACTCATAATCTATACTTACCCTAAAGATGGGTGTACGGTATCTGCACCCAATTTTGTACTCACCCACGTTAATGGATGACACATTGTCTTTCTGACCAAAGGGCATTATTGAAGGGATTTTGCGATACATGAAATACTTATCCATCTCTTTAGTTGCAAGTTACTTTTTCGGCCATCTGTGATCTTCAGTGGCAAGGTATAATACGACAAGCATTTACTATTAAGTGATCAACTGACCGTACAAAACCATAAAATACGTGCCACTTTACCATGACGTGACAAAATAATGATAGCCAGTGTATTTGTACCTTTCGAGTTTCGTTAATGGCGTGTACTTATTTGAGGAATATCGGTTTCTGCAGTCTTTGAACGTGCCATTATTTATTATATTTTAAGTACATCCTATAATTTAATATATAAAGAATCGCATTTAGTAATTTTATATTACATTTGTTTTTCCGTTTTATTCTTTTTACCTATATGCTACAGCGTAAGAAATATTACGTACTTATCGCACGATTATTCATACTTTGTTGGAGAAGTTTAATTATTAGTTTCCATAATTCCTATTTGATGAAATATTATAACACACTTAAGTAAGAAAATTAATGCCTTATGTAGTTATCATAGTGACTGCACTGTCCCAGCAATCGGTATCTATAATTTACTCGTTTTATGTCTCATATATTATCATTAGATTTCAAGCATAGTCATGCTTATAATAAATCATCATAATGTTACACAATATTACACATTGTACCTATGTAGGCATAATATGGCTATGTGACATATTATATAGATAGGTAATAGCTTATAATTGA